GAAAGAAAGAAAGAAAGAAAGAAAGAAAGAAAGAAAGAAAGAAAGAAAGAAAGAAAGAGAATGGGAGGGAGGGAGGGAGGGAGGGAAGGAGGGAGGGAAAAAGGAGAGGAAGGAAGGACTACAAACCTGGCACTGGCTTCAGAGGATAATCCAGGGCTGGAAGGGACATGGAGGTCATCTAGTCCAACCCTGATCCAGCAGGACATTGTGAGTTTCTGTCTTTTGATCTCCCAGTTACATGACTATAGCCACGTCCATCCAGTCATGTGACACCCCCAACAAGCCACGCCCAACAAGCCACACCCACAGAGTTGGTAGTAAAAAAAAATAGATTTCACCACTGACACAGATATATCTGATAATAATATATAAGAGAATGAATTACATTCATTCTCTTATATATTATTTTGCAAGCTATTGTTTTTTTCTGAGGCTTATTGATTGCAATAATTGGTAAAATCATGTCCATTTAGACAGGGCCTAACATTTTATTATGCATGGAAAACCACCAAAAAGGGCTAAGGAAATCCTTATCCTTTCTCTGCATCTCTGTGCAAATATAGCACTCTGTTGAAAATTTTTGCATGGGTAACCCAGAGTGGGATGGAGCCCATCAAGTGGCTTGTTTGAATGACTGCTGTCACCAGGGGGATAGCACTAGCACTAGCAGTAGCACTTAGACTTATACAACCTATTGCCCCCAAAAATCTTGGTCCTCATTTTACCCACCTCAGAAGGATGGACGGCTGGGTCAACCCTCAGCCTGGTGAGATTTGAACTGCCGAACTTCATCTAGCAGTCAGCTGAAGTAGCCTACAGTACTGCACTCTAACCACTGCGCCACCTCTGCCACCCCGGGATGGCAGATTATTGATTTTATGGTTGTATACTGGGATTCTATTTTTTGTAAGCTTCCCAGAGTCACCAAGAGTGAGTGGGCAGTGCTATACATTTTCTAAACAAACCAACAATTTTATGTGGCTTTCAACTCAATACTTCTATTTCATTTTTCAAACAAATCAGAGTCAACCAGCTTCTTCTAATATAGCTGCTGTTGCTACTGCCTTCTTGGAAAGAAACTTCAGGAGAAATGGGTTTGGCTGGATTTCGGTTGAAGCTTTCCAAAAGCATTATCCTCTAAATGAATCCTGGATTCTAAAGTTTCCCTAATTTCAATATGGATAGAGGCAGAGAAGGGGGAGGGGAGGGAGTATTTTTATTTTTTTAAGGTTTTGGCTTTGCAATTTGACTTCACCTCATGAAATGGAAGTTCTTTTCGTCAATCTTGTGGTATAGAAGCCACCCAGAAGTCAAGTGAAAAACAAAACGTTTTTGTGAGAATACAAAATCTTCAGTAAAAGCTTACAACTGAAACCTCTAATGGCAAAAATAAGACTGGGGGCCATGCAAAACATTTGCTCTGTTTTTCCTCTTATCCAAAGAGAGCTTCTGCTAAATATCCATGCCATTTAATCTATCGCACTGGTTTCCCTCATTGACAAGCTGGTTATTATGCATTTCCTTGTTCATTCCTTCATTAGATTTATGTCCAATTTTCCTCCAAGGGTTTGAAGCAGAGGGTGATGACCAAGTTTTTCCGCATGTGAGGCTGTTTGAGCTAAGTAATAGTGAAGGATCTACATCTCTTGTTTCTCAACCTGGGCAACTTTAAGATGTATAGACTTCAATTCCCAGAATTCCCCAGCCAGCTGGCTGGGGAATTCTGGGAATTGAAGTCTATACATCTTAAAGTTGCNTAATTTTAGCTTTAGCGTTCACAGCGTGCTTTTTTCGTCGCACTGTGATGACATCAGCTACGCGGTTTCGTCAAGCGCGCTTTAGTCGAACGTGGTTTTGTGGTGGAACCCTCAGCAAGTTCTGACCAGTTCTGGAGAACTGATAGCAGAAATTTTGAGTAGTTTGGAGAACCAGTAAATATCACCTGTGACTGGCCCGCCCCCCCATCTATTCTCTGCCTCCCAGTCCCAGCTGATTGGGAGGGAATGGGGATTTTGCAGTAACCTTCCCCTGCCATGCCCACCAAGCCACGTCACGCCCACCAAGCCACACCCACAGAACCAGTAGTAAAAAAATGTGAATCCCACCAGTGCCTATGACCCAGATGACTGAGAATCTAATCTACAGAAATTAAGCACAGTTGCGATTCTCTTTGTGACTGCTTTGCTTAATGATCGAGTTGCCAGTGCCAGTTGTAGTTGCTAAATGAGGGCTACCTATAATGATTCTGTAGCATGATCTAATAATATATACCTGATACCTGATTCTTCTTAAAGTTGAAAAATATTTCTTGATACTAGAATTATCTCTGACCTAGAGATCATTTTAATTCCATATATCTATTTTACACTATGTTCTTTTTGTGCCCAAGTTGGTCTCACCTGCAGGTCATCATTGGTCCAGATCTGCTGGGAAAAGGACCATTATAGAGAGCCTTCTTGACGTTAGCATGCCTCTATTTCTCATGAATTTTATGGGACCAATAAAAAGAGGAAGAATGTGCTGGAAACAAATGAATATTATACAGATTGTATGGGATTTTAGCAACAGTAGAGAATTTTCATGACCTATTTTGCTCTGAGTAAGCTTTGTATTCTATTGCTCAGTAGATAATTGGTTAATTGCTCTGCATTCTTTGAAGAAATGGATGCCTTTTGTGAGAGATATCCAGACCTGAGGATGTATAGCAGTTGCTTTCTTATCTGTTCTCTTTCTGCTATTAATTCAGGGTTATTATGTTAGCTTGACTGATTCCTTTATTCTGCGCTGCGGTTAAGGCAGCACGTTCAATATTTATGCTACTGAAAAGAGTAAAATTGAAACACATCCATTTTTAATGGCCATTTGTGATACCTGAGCCTATGTC